GTTTTTCTCCAAATGGATACCAAGACAGGGAGTCTCACAGGGAGTCTCCAGGAATGGATGCCAGTTGAGCTAGCCCCCCGACTTTGCTCTCAGGTATTACTTTCTCCAATGGCAACAAGTGGAAGGTTCTAAGAAAGTTTAGTGAACAGGTACTGCATAATATTATCCTGGAGAAATTGAGCCTTGAGAAGCAGATCCTGGAAGAATTCAGCTTTCTGAGAGTCGAGCTAAGGAAAATTGAAGGTCAGCCCTGGAAGGAACAATAGCTTTTTCTTTTTTTTTTTTTTCTTTTTTCTTTTTTTTTTTAATTTGACTTTCTTCCGATTAAATAACCCAGTTTCAATCGTGAAAAGGGCACTTGTTTCTACAGTGGCTGTGGACAACTTGCTGAGTTCCAAGTACTGTTTCCACGCTTCTTCCTTGTCATGGCTGAGGTTATATCTCCACTTGCTTAGGAAGCAAATTCTAGAATGTTGTAAGAATTGACCCCCTAAGTTGTTCTTTCAGATTCTATTTCTCCATAGAGTTCAGCTAACTTTTTAAACTCCGGTCCCCAGTCACCAAGGTAGTGATAGTCCTGGTCTGATTGTGTCGTGGCTGAATCCAGCGAGCTGACAGACCCCGCTTCTGATCTCTGACCCTCATAGGCATACGTCTGAAGAGAGTCATAAGGGGGGACGCTGGGATCTAGGTCAGCTTCTGCCAGTCTTTGCTTAATAAATTCCTGAACATCTATACTTTCCAGCGTGGACAGTGTCTGGTGTCTGGGGGTGAGTTTCACTTCAGGTCTGATATCTCTCCGGTACTTGAGCTCCTCAGCAGCAGATGGATTCCTCAAGGCTGTGATGTCAAAGGCCTCGGTGTCTTCCTCCCCGCCACCCTCATCGTCATAGGTGACCACATTCTCCCGCACATCCTCCTCTGAAATAATTAGGGGCTCTTTTTTGCTGCGTCTCAGGGTGATAAAAAGTACAACAATCGCTGATGGAAAAAGGAAAGAGAATGAAGAGTTAGAAACAAAAATGGTCATTTTTGGAGATTGGAAATCAGCGATTTCCAACCCAGTCATCAACTACATTCCATTTGGCTTGCATTACAACACAACCCTGATTTCTGTACTCTCTGCATAACACCTCAATGGTTTTTAATATCTTGAAGAACATAAAAAAATGATTATACCTACAAAACATTGGAAATCATTGATCTTTTCTAGAACCCTCAAATATTCTCCTTTGCCAGGCTTATGTATTCAGGATACTTGAGTCATGTTACAGTATAACCTCAGGTTTACACTGAGGGAAACTGATGCTGGAAAAGCACTATGAAATTTTGAATGGAAAAAGAATGGTATGTATGGTCCCATCTATAGGTACTTAGTCCTTGTAGGGAGATGCACTGAAGGCAGGATACCTTTTAAGTTTTTGTAAAATAGGAAGGAGTCTCTACTGTAAACCTGTGACTTTTGATACTTTGGTTTCTAGCAAATATTTCACATGGTTGACTTCTTTTGTCCATTATCCTTTAGAATAATATTATCATGCATTAATAATTGCATTTATCTATCAAGCTGTTATTTGTCTATCAAAGGTGTTATTTTATTTGTATGCAAATTAAGTTTCATAGGAATTTTTCAGTTTGCAGCTTGTCCTGGTCATAACTTCTTAATGTTTACAGCAGCTCTGGGACTTTCCTCATTTTTAAAATGAAGAAATTGGAACTCAAGAAATTACTCTAATAACTACAATCTAAGTCTAAGGACAAATAAGGTGCAAGAGCTTGAACCATACCTATGACTTCTCATATCAGAGGTGATGATGTTTCCATCACTATATTCTACTTCATTATTTTAAAAATATGGAACAAAGAACTGAAGTGACCAGTTGGACATGTGCCTTAGGGTTACTTTGCCAAATACAGTCAAATTAGTCCTTATTGCCTACAATGTTGTGACCATTAGATGAATTGATAGAAATGCATGTTGGGTCCTTTGTTTTGGCCATTTTTCAGTAGTTTCAAATTATTCTACTTGATAGTATTAAACCATTACTAAATAGAATTACCTCACTACTACTTTGTGTCATTAGGCCCAATATCCTTCACTTCATTTCTACAAACTGTTTGTTTCTTGCTTAGTTGATAATATTCTAGGCTTTTATTAGTAGGTATTAGGTTCATTAGTATTTTAAATATTCTTTACAATATAATAATCAGAAGTACATTCAAATGGTTGTTAGATTAGCAAATAATACAGGAAATCCAATTAAGGGTGAATTTGAGATTATATAAGTGTGAATTTGTATTATATATGTTTAATATAAAATGAATAACAAAATATATATGTATACTGTATGCATATATGTATATATACTATATGTGTATATATAATTATATATAAATATAATTTAGTATGTTTCATGCAATATTTGGAATATATACATATGTACATATCTCAAGAACACATTTATGATATATATATCCCAATATTATTGCATGTGACTTACTTATGGTATACATATTATAGTATACATATATATGTATATATATTTATATATCATAAGGATTATTAGAGCATTATTTATTTATATATAGCATAAGTATGTCTCATAAAATATATCTGTAGGTGTATATGTGTCTGCATGTACACACAAATATACACCTAGATATATATTTTAATCTGAAATTCATATTTCAATATTATATTTTATCTATTTATATCTATATACTGTATTTTATCTGGAAACCCTAATTATATGTAAGCGTCAGCAAATGGTTGTAAAGCAAACACACACCAGGTTAGCTATCCTCTGGTGAAGAATGTACCTGGAATCTTAGAAAGTGCCTTTTTACCCTATCTCTAAAAAGTAACTTCTATTCTCACTTCTATTGTTATTATTTTCTTACTTCTCTTTATAGTTTAACCCTTTTTGTGTGTACCCTTAAGCAATATAGAAAAGCTTTGCCTGTATTTGCATTAGATATCATCGTGTACATGTGCTTAAAACTTGAAAATATGGAGAGGAAGAGAAATAGATCTTCAAGCCAGAAGTAGAAAGGGTAATTGTGAGAGGGAGATCTACTATTATATGTGGAAAGAGATGATCATGGTTCACTGGGAGGAATCTAAATTTGGAAAGAAAAGGCAAGTGGAAACTTTTGGGGATGAAATATAAAAGCCAAAACATTTTTAGACAGAGTCAGAGAATTATCTGGAGAAGCATGAAATATAAGGATACTGAAAACGTAATGGGACAAAGTAATGGAGGAGATGGTTGCAGGCATGGGAAGCACTGCGAATCTGGAGTGGAGTAACGACAGCAAGGTGAGAATGAAATGCCCATGCTACACGTGGCTCTGCTTCACAAGTGCTCTGCTACAAATAAATCCGTGTCTCATACACGTTGCTTATACTTCAAAGACATTTTCTAAAATAGCACTTTATTTTTGAAAAAAGAGACTTTTGCTGAATGTAGTAAATATACATTTGATACTATACTGTATTTTAGTGTAAACTCAGTCTAGAGCTTTCTAATACAACAGCTCAAGCAGCATCCTCAAGCAAATCATTTTATCATATTCAGAGGTTTAGATTTATCATTGGTTATATATTTCTGCTCATCTTTATAATCAAGCGAGGAGGCTGTTCTAGATTAAAACATCTATTTCTATGGACTGCCTAATTTTAGTAAAATTTCTTACTTTTGTTAATAAATCAAGTTATTTTCCTTTAGGTTTAAATATTTGGTGGTTGATGTCAAGAGAATTTACGTGCGTACATACAGGGGAGAATGTGATCAACACTATTATCAAATTATGGAGGTAATTTGCATCCTTCAGTGATATTAGGATCATGTTTGCGTAATGAAACATAGGAGATATTGTTGGATTCATTATTATGACTGTTTATATTTGCTATTCCTCCAAATTTAAGAAAATATTCCTGATATATTTTAATTTAAAATATAGATATTAGTTAAGTTTGAACTTTGAGCTTTTACATTTATCTCTTTTCCATGTAGTGACCAATATTCTTAGTTTTTTTATATACCTTTTTAATATGCAGATCAACATATAATAGTTAATCGTACAATCTGAGACACTTTTAAGGGTGAAAATGTTGTTTACAATCACATCAGGACATCAAGACGAATATGGATATATGGCCCATCTAGTCAAAAATTAATTTAGACCAATTCAGAGAAGAATGTGGAAATGTGGATGATAAGATGTGCTCTTAATGAATCGCTTTATGTTCATGCTTGTTTGGTAGGTGTTTCTGGAGCAGATGGCACACAGTTGACACTCCAACAATTCCATGTGAAATTCCATGAACAAAGCATCCTATTTGTGAAAGGGGCAACATGGCATTCTGTTATGTGAATCTTTGTGAATGGTAATAGCCTCAGTAAGAAAATAATTTTTAAATATTTTCAAATCAGCTTATGGTTACCAATAATATCGAACACATAATTTTACTTGAAGACATTTATTACATGTTTGAAAACCAAAATAAATGTTTCCTAAAAGCCACAAGACCAAATTTATTTCATGAGAATGAGTGAGAGTAATATTCATATACACAGATTTGGAATTTAACTTCTTGTTTAAAAATTGGCAGTCAAATTACTACAATGGAATGACAGAACCCTCCCCCCCAACGATCTATTAAACTATACATATGAAATAAATTACCACTCCTTATGGTATGTCATCTGGGAAAATAAAATACAACAGAGACAAGGCACTGTAAAAGAAATCATAGATACAGAGCTTGTCCTTCGTTAAAAATTATAAACGATTTATGGTATTTTAAAATTTGGTTATATAATCTGGATTGAAATATGAATAAACTATTATTTTTGAGAGGTCCTTATTTTAATGAATATTTTATTCTTGGTTAATATTTTTTTTCCTATTGTTTTATCTTTCAGTTTGGGCAGAATTTTAAATACACTTTAATTTTTTATTTGAGGAAATTAAAATAAATTTCTTAAGTGCCATTAATTTATTTTATTAAAAAAGGAATTCATATTTGGGGAAACATTTTAAAATTTATTTTCTCATATATTTTACTTATTTATTTCTCTTACCATTCTGGTGCTTGGAGTTCTAATGAGTTTTGAGTTTTCATAATTTAAATTGTCATACAACTTGCATTTGAATACATTATGTACTGTCTTCCAATCCGCTTCCAGCAAATACTTTTGACAGCAGATTTTTAAACCCCTTAATATCACTTGATTCTTTTTTATACCATCATATGTTAACATTAAATTTGGTAGAATGAGGTGGTACATGTCAAGATTATTTTATTAGCTCCTGTAGTGCTTTTGATTACATCTGATCATGGCACTTCTCAGTGAAACTTCTTTTTCAAACCAAGGGTAGCCCACAAAGTCATTTAAGACAGATCTGGTGATAGACAGGCTGGCAGTTACTACCTCGATTCCACCTTCATCTCCTGATGCCTCATTTTCCTCACACCAAATCCACTCTGATCTCCATTAATCAAGAAACTTATATCCAAGGATAGGCACAATTTAGCTGGTGAACTCATTAGGTCACCTGCTTGTCAGAAATCTGATTCAGATCCTGATTCAATGATTTCTTGTGCCAAGTGGATTAAGGTTTGCTCTGACAGCTGCTCTGGGTCCTCTTGGCTATTGATGGGGTGAGGTTAGGAAATACATGTTTGATCTGAGAAAGGGTATCTCCGGAATCAAACTCTGATTCTAAATTATTTCTTTTCCATCCCATAAAATAAGTCTAAAAAAAGTAATCTTAATAGAACATAACTCCTAACTCTTGATGTATACATCCACCATTTAATTTTAGGCCCTTTGGTTTTCAAGTAATATTTTCTGGTAATCAAAATATATACATAGATAGAGTCTGAATATACTGTACAATATTGAATTATATTTTCCTATAATAAAACATAAAAAAGCACTGCAAAATTTTATAGGTGGTGCTAAGTTTCTTCTAGGTGAAACTTCATTTTCACAGATTCAGAAATAGAAACAAGAGACTGAATGGATCACCTGAGATCACACCATTAATTAGTGTCAAAACTAGTACTAGGTTTATGCAATCAGAGTCATTTCACAAACAGATGACTACTAGTTAAAACATTTCAATATCGAAATATTCATTTCACAATCTGTTTAGCTGTTATTATTGAATGCTACTTCAGAATTACAAGTTCTAAAATAAAGTTTTGCTATGTTTGATGTTGCTGATATTTTCCTTGAAAATTATAACTCACACATTAACCAACATTATTTTAAAATAGCAAATGACTACATTCTGAGTCTTTTGGCTAGATAGTGTCTGAATAACAACAATGCCACGGATATGATGCATGGACTAAAAGTGTAGATGGCAGAAATCTGATTCAGATCCCAATTCAATGATTTCTTGTGCCAAGTGGATTAAACCCTTACAATGCCATGAAAAATGTAAATTACTTTATAAATAATGATTGTTTAAACCCAAGTCTAAGAAATTATTCTGAAACCTTTGGATAAACTGTAAACACATAAGAGTTTTAATAAAAAGTTAAATGAGTAAACATATCAAATAGCTCCTGTTTTTCATTAGTCCTGAGGGATAGCATAAAATTTACAAATGTTCTTTTATTTATCCCAAAGGGGAAACAACATTTTCATAAAAGGGAAGAATTGTTTTATGAAATAAAAAATGTTATTTTACATAATTCACCTTGAATGTACCTGTGTATTAACATTTTCAATTAGTGTTTAAAGTTTTATCTTAGTATATGAAAATAGTTTTATGATGATAAAAGAAAACAGAAGCCATAGTTAACATGACTCCACCGACTAAACAATTTTCAGAATAAGGACTCTGAAAGAACTTAAATTAGTCACTGAATTCTTTACATTATGCTTTAAATTAGGAACTCTTATGGGATCAATGTTTGTAGTTTCATTTTGTTTCATTTTCTGGTTTTGGTTTATGAGTTTTTGGTTTAATTTTCAATGACAAAAGTATAATATGTTAATATCTAAAGAAAATAGTATCATGATCAATTAATATATAAATGAATGAAATCTAGAAAGCTTGATTTTTCTTATCCACCATCCATTCACTGTAAAAGACTATACTGCAATGAAATAATTCTTGTTACGGTGCACAGACCCTCCCTGCTCCACGTTGCTAAGTGCAGTTGATACTTTTCGGTACTCAATTGATTTATCCTCTGAGTTTTTGAAATTGTTGAATGGTCTGTCCTCTTTAACACACTTTTTTTCCTTTGACTTCTATAACATTATATTTCACTAGTTTTCTTTCTTCTTCTCTGACTCCTTTGCTCTCTTTTGCTATCTCATCCTTCTTGAGTTAGGGATCCCATTGGATTTTATCACAGCTCAGTTCTGGTCTATCTTCTCTCATTTTACATTCTTTTTGCTGTAGTGAATTCTGGTGTCCCCCAGCTCAGGGAAGATCACGTTCAGCAAGAGATTAAAAGTCTTCTTTGACACTGTTCTAACTCAGCTACATATCTAATTTATACAATATTACTTAGAAAGAAATAACAAAACTTTTTGGCTATTTTATTTTTAGCCCTAGGAAATTTGTTTCAAGAAAAAGACACTATGTTATAAACATTAGATATTTGTTCACTGATGCGAAATTATTAACATTGCTGTTTTTAAGTGGAATCTCAGGTACTTTCAATAAACATTCAGTTAAAATTTTGATAAATATTTTTATCCAGAGATCTGTATCACTTGATTTCACTTAAAACATCTTGATATTATCTACCTTTCTTCAGTTCCACTCACAGGATATTGTTCAAACTATGCTATGTCTGAGCGAGACACTGCATTGTCTTATTAATCACTCAGCCTACATACTGTCTTGCCAGAAGTGGTATCCATTCTCTACTTCATTCATAGTCATATTTTTTCAAAATGCAGATTTTAATGACAGAACTCTGTTACTTTAAACCTCTCTTTACACTCCTAGAACAAAGCCCACCATCTTTATACCAGGACCAAGGAACTCAACTGTCTCACTCCTGCCTAAATTTCCATTCTACTTTCAGCCTTATTCTACCTTGCTCTCCACTCCCTCTGTACAGGTAATTTGTCTTCTATTTCAGAAATAAAGCAAGAAACGTTTCTTACAAGAATATCTCTGTCTCGCCAAAACATAGCTGTTTCGTTTTGTTTGTTTGTTTTAATGTATGTATAGTACCAAGAGTAAAAGATAAGGCTGCTAATAGAGGTAGAAGGTAGAAGGGAGAAGACATGCTGGAAAAATAAATATATAACCACTTTGAAGTATAAAGCAGAATGAGTCTTTACGTCTATTTTTCTTGTGATAAAAAACTGAATTTTCTGTCTTGTTTTAAATAGTAATTCTAATAATTTCATAGTAATAATAGCTTGAAATACAGTTGTGATATGATTTAGACTAATAAAAAGATAATATAAAATTAAAGAAAACATTTTATTTTTTAACAAATGAAAATCATATTATTTTATTTTAATAAATTTTAATATCTCTAAGGCCAAAATTATTTAGACTTACTACTTTAAACTTCAGCTAACATTGATGATTAACTAATGTTTTAGACTAAGAGGAATTTCCACAAGAAATCTATTTTTTATTTGGTATTCAGATTCATTTTGGAATGCTACCACTTATGTTCTTTGAAATAAATTGTAAAAGCCCATTCAATATGGGATTTTGAATATTTAATATCAATTGTTTCTAAAACAGATCCTTTCCAAAAAGATTTCTCTCATATTCTATTATTTCATATTCTGACATTTCAGCATTTTTAAATCACATTTCAATCAAATTATCTGTACATTAACTATGGTACTGAGAAAGTTAATGAAAAGAAAATCTGTACCGCCATGTTTGTTATCCACATTTGTTTGTAATTGCTTCTTAAATATTGTCAAAGTGACTCTCCACCCCGCCCCCCCTCCCACCTCGAATGTAGGGTACATTCAGAATTGTCATCATAGAATATAGAGATTTAGAATGACTTACCTAGGAGGATGACAACACAGAGAAGAATAGCGATTAAGGCTCCTGTACTCAAACCCGCCGAGGACAGGAACGCTTCCGCGCGGCAGGTCCGCACACGCCCATCTCTCTCGCATGCACAAACCCTGATGGTGAGGGTGCTGCTGCTGGTGAGAGAGGGGATTCCACCATCAGAGATCATAATGGGGAGATAATACACATCCTGAATAGTTCGACTAAATCTCCTCCGCCTTGTCAGAATGCTGGCTGTGTTATCTATGACAGACATAAGCAAAACAAAATGTACTTAGTAAAGCCGGCATTAGAGATTCACATTTCCTTTAGTGGATACATGGGAATGTGTGAATTATTTTGTTTGCTTGTTTATGAAATGGACAAGGGAACATGAAGGGGTTTATTATTAAAGAGTAACTAATATTGGTTCTCAAACAGATCTATTTGAAAATTAATAGATCTCAAAGTAGAGGAGAGTGGAAATAGTGGGAGACAGAGGAGGGAGGAAGCAATAAACATTTCTGGCATGGACATAAGTCAAAGGATGTGAAAGGGCACAGACAGCTTAAAGCCAGTAGATTCTAACATTCTGAGTGAGCCAGTGGACCCTTCCCCCAAACCCGTTGACTCTGAATGTAAGTGATAAAAACCAATATTTACATTTTTAGCAAACCATTCAGGTGATATTAATTAATTTACAAAAAGGCGCAAGAGCCATTGGTACAGATAATATATATATATATGGAGACGCCATTTTAACTGACAAACTTTTTTAGACTTAGTTGATTTTTGAAGTGCTGTTGTTACCATGGGCACATCACGGGAAAGTTAGTGAAGAATAAAATATTTAATTCTATTTTTTATGTGCTTTTTAAATGCTATGTACTATACCCTGCATGGGAAGACTTGCTGCCCTAGTTGCAGATTGCTGTCTGGCTCAAGGTCATACCCTTCAGGAGCAATGCATAATCAATGACTCGTTGCTGAAAGGTTACAAAGGTCAAGCCATTTCCTCGGAATTCAAATGATATTGATATTGACGATATTGAAGGGCAAGCTTAGTTCCTGAGCTTTCCCATGGGCTTCATCATGAAGGCACTGACATTGCATGGTGTCTCAGTTTCTCACTCTGGCCAACCGTTCAACCTTTCTTCCTTTTTTGGGGTCCACAGATGTAGATGGACTCCAGTTAACATTCTGATCTCTGAACTCCAATTCAGAGTCAGCTTCTCAGAGAACCCAACCAGTGATTCTATGAGTGAATTACTTTCCATCTAAATCAATAGATAATTATATTTAGGAATTTTTTTACTATCATATAATTTTTGTATTTTGAAAATTGGAATCTTGTTACAGATCAGAATGTTTAAGATCATCACAATATAATACCTTAAATATAATCTTGACTGCCAAATTAATGCTATAAAAAGACAATTTTTCAAATATTAAATGTAATATAATAATAAAACAATTTGTAATATTCTGTATATATACTAAATTATATAATGATATAGATCTCTATCTCTGCATATATATGAATTTTATATATAGTGTTAGATATCTATATCTATCTATATCTATCTCTCAGTATATATATTCTGTACATATATATAAAGTTTTATATATTAGATCTCTATATCTATATTATTTATCTCTATATATACATATGTATGTATATATATGTGTGTATATGTTGTTGAAGGTTAAATCTAGAGCATAAATAAATAATCTGATAAGGAATTGAAAAAGATTCTCTTACCTGATAGAAGAGGAATAAAAAAATGTTTAAATTTTCTATTCTGAAGTAGGCTTCAGAATAGAGAAGGGAAGAGAAAAACTGCATGATATGCTTTGTATAATTGTCACAGATATTGTCACAGAAAAGCTGAGCTTTGAGGAAGCACTTCTATCAGTTGTAGGATGTTCCATCATGATTAATATAAACTTATCTATATGCTCAATTCCTTAGTCTAAAAAAAAACCTAGGAACTAAGTATTCACAGGCACGAGAATGTTTGATAATCTCACTGCTCGCCCTCTGAAAAAGAGATGTAAGGCACTGACACCTGGTCTCAGTAAACATGAATAATAACATGTGTGATGACAGGATGCATGCAGGGATAGATAGGGTCTTCTTTTTATGGCTCCGGTTTAGTGTACACTTAACATTCCTAATTTGGAAGCATGTTCTCTTTCAGAATAATTACTGGCGACACAATCGGAAACATGATCAGAATTAAGAAGAAAGCAAACCTATGTTTGTAGTGCACTTTAAGTCCTTAAACAGAAACTCTCAGACACAGAGGCATAAAAACGTTCTTTCTTTTTTTACAGTTGAAAGTTTGACTTTTGAAAAAAAAGAGGATTTAGGAAGCAAAGAGCTGCCCACCTAGAAAGACAGTGCAGCAGAATAATGAGCTCTTGACAAGGGATATTGCATACCTCACCAGAGCTGCAAAAAATGTACTTGGCAGAGGTTCACTGAACTTGAAAAAGAAAACTTTGAAATGAAATGAAAGGTATAGGAAAAAATATGCATATAAAAATATGCAGATGTGTGTGTATATATATGCAGAAAGCAAAATTTGTCTAGCTGAAGCTGCAAATTAGAGAAGAAGAACAATGAATCTTTAAATTTTAAAGATGCTTTAAAAAATAAACCAAGCATTATAGAATGTCCTGTGTAACTTCCAAATGGATGAAAAAAAAATAATGTGAGCCGAATAAAGAGAGACCATAGCAGGCTGGAACATCTGCAGATAAGTGCTAATTATTAATGTCAAACTAGGGACAAACTCTATTAATAATGTATATGCAAACTTGGTTCTTAATTCTAATTCTCAATAGTTTGGATGAAGACAGAAATTTATAGAACACTTGGAAGCCAAGTTAATATAGCTAATACATTGGATTAAGATTCAAGGAGATTTTGAACAATAGCACAAGACCTTACATTAACAAGAAGACATAAAGTAAAAACTCATATTAGATTGTAAAGCTTGAAAAGTATCATATGAGAGAGATGGCCATAGAGAGACTAAATAGGTTAAAATATCCTCAGAAGCATTTAGTAGAGGTATAGAATTTCTATGCATCTTTCTATGGAAAAGACTTCATTGGGATACTGTACGTACTTTTGGGTTTCCTACCTTAAAAGTGATGCTTTAACTCAATGGACTGTATTTAGAAGAACTTGACTGGGATGGTAAAAGAGGTAGAAAAATTTATCATATGAAGGATCTTTGAAAACACTGAGTGTGAGAATTCTACATGTCACTTATGGATTTAGGTCATAAAAGGTCTCAGAAATTGTCCAGAAAAAATTGGCAAACTTTCTTAGTAATTAATATCTTTATGAATGTAATTAATATAGTCTTTATATCCCTAGCCACTAAATCTTTAGTATAATGTAGAAATAGACTTGAACGTGCTTTAATCTTTCAAAATAGATGACAATACATTCTTTATTTTGTTATATATCCGATTTCTTGTTCAGAAAAGGACATGGGCACATAGAGGAGAAATTAGGGTGACTGTCATGCAGATATATAATATTTGACTCATATAGACACATGGTAACGACTGCAAAATAATTGAAATTCAGAGTCCTTTGAAAGCAATAATAAATTTATTTTCATAGCTATAAGAATTGCAGGAATTTTATAATTGACTGGCAATTTTGTAGGAACTTTTCACAAAAATATTTATACTAAAATATACCATTGTGTAGAGAGGTACACTTCCATCACCTATATGTCTACATGAAGAGAAGGCTACAGATTGTGATAGTATAATACGACTCGCATACTGGTTCTGGAATTCAGATATATTTTCTTGAACTAGCAATACGTGTCTGATGATGCTCTCGTTCAGTATTTTGAGAGATTTTTGAAAGATTCAATCTCTGTGTTACTTTTGTAAACTGTAATACAGTTTAAATGAAAATAAGGCATGCTTTAAAAATATTCCCTGAAGCAAAAACAAATCCTATATTAAAGTCCGGTATTACCTCATATCTTGGAAAGTATTAAAACTATGTGTTCTTCTTAACTCTTAAATTATTAGACACCCATTCACTCCCTGTCACTCCCTGCGAAAGGAGCCTGGAATTTCAACAGATTTCTTGTTTGATAATGTAGGTAAAGATACTTTATCTTAAGCCTGGTCTAGCAGACTTAAAATAAAATTTCCAAATCTATCAGAACATACGAGATTCTCAGATGTGGATCTCTTATTGGACTTTTCTGTGTGTGTGTTTGTGTGTGTCTGAAGAGAAAGTAGAAAATCGAAACTTAACTCTCACAACACAGACAAATATGCCTGGCTCCACATTATTTCACTTTTTTTCTGCCCTTCTCGCAGCAGTAAGATCCATTCATAATCTAGCTATGATCAGAGCCCATGCATGAAACAATGCTCTTTTGCTTTCCTTCCACT